ATACCCTCCTCTTGTTTTCATTTCCTAAAATCCTGGTTGGACCCAACCATCTGCCTTTTTCACATTTAGTACACAGCAGCTAGCTAAAAGTTGCTGGAGAAAACCACACAACTGGGCTCACTGGCTGTATTTTAAATTAATGACTACAAAACTCTAATGGGAATTCAACCTTGCCTAGAAGGCCTACTTACATTTCCCTAGTAAATTTGATTCCTAACCTAAAAGATGACAGTTTTAGTGTTTTGGGGTTTTTTTTACCCCTTACCTTAAATGATAACATCATTTTTATCGAGGAAATCAGACATGATGGCTCCCATGTTCTCACCATCAAAACTATAAACCTACTTTATCTATATATACTTTCTCTCTTGTTAAATGAATGACCTCTGAGCCTATCAAAGGCAATCCCTCCATTTGTGCTCTGCATCCCCTAGAGACCTCACTTCTATAGCTCTTCCTCTTCTGCATTACCTATTTCCCCTTCTTACTGGATAATTCTCACTGGATTACAAATATGCTATAGAACCTCTCTTTCCCTTGAGCTCACAGTCTCTTCTAGATACCACCCTATTTTTTCTCTTTTATGCAAAACTTCTTTAAAAATGTTACATGCATTTGCTGCCTCTTTTGTTTTATATCCTGGAAACCTCTCTGATTTGGCTTCCAACCTCACTGAAACTGAGGAAGCATACCATCAAGGACTTTCACTTTGGCTAATCTGATGGATTCTTTACTTTTTTCACTGTCCTTACTTCTCAGAAGATTGGACAGTTTACCCGTTCACTTGTTGGTCTTTATGACACCGTGCTTTCCTGGTTTTTCTCCTACCTTTCTGCTTCCTCCTCAGTCTCCGTTGCTGGCTCCGAATTCTCTCCTCAGTGCTTGGTCTTAGGCTCTCTTCTCTTTTCTATGCTTTCTCTTAAGTCATCTTATCTAGTCCCATAGCTTTTAACACTGCTACTATCTTGTCAACTCCCGAGTTAGTATGTGATATTTCTACTTTTATCAAATAGGTATCTCCAATTTAACAACAAACTCTGTCTCTCCTCAAAGAGGAGAGTTATTCTTGACTTCTCTCTTGCCCTTGTTCCTTAAGTCTATTGATTCTACCTTCTCAGCCTCCTACCCAAACCACTGCCGTAACTCACCTGGACTATCAAGCCACCTTCTCAGGAGTCTCTCTGCTTCTGTTTTTGCCTTCAATAATCCATTCTCTCCACACGGGATCTTTTAAAACGTAATCAGTTCATGCCACTTATATGCTTAACTCTTCAATGGCTTCCTATGACATTACAACAAAACAAACAATATACTGGGGCCTATAAAGCCCTATGTGATCCAACCCTAAATATCTTGTCAACCTCTTATTTCCTCCTTACTCACTATGCTTCATCCACACAGGGCTTCTTTCTGCCAAATTCTCTCTTTCTTCGAGGCTTTACTCTGATGTTTTCTCTGTTTTTCTCATAATCACTGTGTGATTGGTTCTTATAACTCAAAAACCATCCTAAATATCACCTCTCAGAGAGGTTCTCTCTTCATCTAAAGTAGCTCTCCCTACCCCAGAAGTAGCTTTGCAGCTTATTACCCTAAGTATTTCCTTGATAGCACATATCTCATTGAAATTACATTCTTAGCCAGGCTCGGTGGCTCAACCTGTAATCCTACGCCTTGGGAGGCTGAGGTGAGTGGATTGCCTGAACCCACGGGTTAGAGATCCACCTGGGCAACTTGGCGAGACCTCATCTCTACAATAAATCAAAAAATTAGCCGAGTGTGGTAGCGCACGCCTGTAGCTCCAGCTACTTGGAAGGCTGAGGCAGAAGGATCGCCGGAGCCCAGCAGGTGGAGGCTGCGGTGGCTGGGAACGGCTACTGCACTCCGGTCTGGGCAACAGAGTGAGACTCCAACTCAAATAAATAAATAAATAAATAAATAAATAATATTCTTTATTTGTTTTCTTGTTTACTCTCTGTCTCCTTCAGAGTGAGACTCCAACTCAAATAAATAAATAATATTCTTTATTTGTTTTCTTGTTTACTCTCTGTCTCCTTCATGTAAGTTCCTTAAGGGCAAGTACATTGTCTTTCCTGTCACTTCTATTATTTCCAGCATCCACAACAGTTTTTGACACATTGAAGGCATCCAATAAATATCTGTTGTATAAAAGGATGAAGTAATTGAATTATTAACTATATGCCTACTTAGGTTACAGTGCCAAATCCTAACACTTTGACTACTGATAAATATGCCTTTTGTTGGAAGAGCAGTTTTGAGCTTTGTCTGGGAATGAATCACACAAAATTAGAAAGGTTTGCTGTTGTGCATTAATCATACACAATATATTTTCTGGTGGCCAATGGTTTCTTTTCAGCAATAAATAGGTAATTTCGTGTTCAGTAATTCTTATATGAAATTCATAAGCAAATTAATGATTTTACTTAAATCACATTAATTAGGGGCTCAAGGATAGAGTTATATTTTTCAAAAAGTCTCTCAGATAGGTGAATAACTTTGGGCTGGTTTTCATTCTTCCCACTTAGCAACCATTTCTGAATCTTGATGCCAAGATCCTTGAACATTTTATCTAAATGAGTGTACTCTCTAAATTTAACACCAGATCTTAAATCTGCCTCTCAAACTTGGATTTTTAAAATAAATGTTTTCTATTCTGTATCAAATTACAGGGTTTTTTTTTTTAAAGGAACAAAGTGAAAAAACATACTTTACCATACAAAAGAGTCATCTATGTACCTCAAAATATTTTGCCCTTTCAGAAATTCATTATATTTACAAAACACTGTACTTCAGAGACTCTTACACTATTATTAGCTGAAATAATATAATTGTACCAATGATAAAAATTCCAAATTAATTTATGCAACAGGACCCAAGTACATATGTTAGGCTCTTTATAACATGTGGTCCAACTTAAAAAAAAAAAATGAATATAATTAGGTGGAATTTGTGTATACAATATTAATTAGGTTGAATTTGTGTATATAGTATTTAAAATTTCAGGGTGAAGCCGGGCTCGGTGGCTCAGCCTGTAATCCCGCGCCTTTGGGAGGCTGAGGTGAATGGATTGCCTGAGCCCAGGGGTTCGAGACCCGCCTGGGCAGCGAGACCTTATCTCTACAATAAATCAAAAAATCAGCTGGGTGTGGTAGCACATGCCTGTAATTCTGGCTACTCAGAAGGGTGAGGCAGAAGGATCGCTGGAGCCCAGCAGGCGAGGCTGCAGTGGCCGGGAGCGGTCACTGCACTCCAGTCTAGGTGACAGAGTGAGACTCCAACTCAAAAAAATAAAAAATAAATAAAAAATAAAAAATAAATTAATTAAAAAAATTTTTTAAATTTTAAAAAATTTCAGGGTGACCTAAGTACGTTGTTCTAGACAAATTTTGATTTTATTAATATTAACTAATCACATTAAAATGACAGCTAATTGCTTCTTTTAGTTGTACTTGAAAAAAAACCATCCTTTTCTCCTGTGTAACAAATGGCCTTTATTAATTAGGTCTCTCAGTTTGTGTGCTGGCCACATTTGGCAGTCAAGTTCTCACCAAAAATAATAGCAACCTGCTCTGGATGGTAATCAAGCAGCAAATATATTTTTGGCTTTAATGTTTGAAACTCCAAATGCCATATGCCACAGAACTGAACCTTAAATGGCATTAATAAACTGGTCTGATACTGAAATACAGAATATGAGGACTTGGGGCACTCTAAAACACCTTTTTCTTTAGTACAAAACAAATGTTTCAGGGTTAGCAGGGAATGCCTATCTAATGCTCTCATATGTAAAATCAAAATATTAAAACTGAAACAACAGGGGAAGGAGGAGCAGAATGATAGAACCTCAACCTTAACACTACTCTAAACTTCCAATAGCTCAGTAGTGCTGCCTTTTATTATTAATATTTTGTCACAGTACTTGTCTCTGAGTGTGCTGGGGCCTAATAAAAGTACAGATTTTCCTTAGGCTTTCCTTTGATGGTCACACGTAGGAAAAGTTGATGCTGTGTGTCTACATTTTCTACTCCTTAAAACATGGGGAAGCCGGGCTCGGTGGCTCAGCCTGTAATCCTGTGCCTTTGGGAGGCTGAGGTGAGTGGATTGCCTGAGCCCGCAGGTTCGAGACCCGCCTGGGCACGAGACCTCATCTCTACAATAAATCAAAAAATCAGCCGGGCGTGGTAGCGCGTGCCTGTAATTCCGGCTACTCGGAAGGCTGAGGCGGAAGGATCGCCGGAGCCCAGCAGGTCGAGGCTGCTGTGTCCAGGAGCAGCCACCGCACTCCAGTCTGGGCAGCCGAGTGAGACTCCAACTCAGAAAAAAAAAAAAACATGGGGAAATGGTTCTTTTGTCATTTGGGGAAACTAACAATAATAATACTCACAGTAGTAAAGGACATACTACTGTATGAGATTTCATGGGATAGATTCAATAGAAATTTCAGAAAATTTAAAAATATTTTAATCAACCAGAAATGTTCCAATCTCATAAAAACATTCTGTAATTTAAAGCTAGCTATTGTAAAGGAATTTTAAAGGTGAAATTGTTTAAATCCATTACCATGTGATCACTAACTCTCACCCTTTTGTGAAAAAGTAAAGAGATAGGTAGAGCAATGAAGAGGAAAGGACCATGTATACAAGAAGATTGTAAACACCCAGGAAAATAGAAAAACTTCAGAAAACATAAGGAAGGCTAGCAGATTAGAGCTAATTTTTGACCATTTTAAGAAAATATGTTGGTTTCTTTAAAAGAGCAACAAATGTTTGCTCCATCTGCAATTTCCTTCAAAGAAAAACTACCTAACAAATCCTAAATTATAAACAAATGGAGTAGAATATCTGTTACTAACAGAACTGATTGTTTTTTATTCTTGAGTATTTCCTGGAAATACTTCAGTTACTTCTAGCTCAGCTATTTGTCCCAACGCTGACACTGCTCCAATATAAAAAGCACTAAAAGATGCAACGTTCAAGAGGATGTACTTTTCAATTTCATTTACTTGACAGTACTAAATCAACCACAGTCTTGAAGGTACTTTGAAGATCACATTCATCCACTTTCAGCCTCAGGGGCTTCAATTATTTCTCACTTAGGAAAGCCCAGAGAAGATGTTTACACCTTCAGTCCTCTGAGGAACTGTTTAGTGATAGCCACAGCAACTTTGGTGCTGAAGAGGTCACTTCCTCTGACTTGTTTACCACCAAATCAACAATTGAAGAGGTCACTTCCTCTGACTTGTTTACCACCAAAATCAACAATTGCAGGCACGAACTATAAAAAAAGAGAAGCAACTTTTTATTGCTTAGGGATTAGGAAGCTCATTTCATAAGAAAATAACTTTTAAAGCAAATGACACGAGAAGACAGAATTATACATTTCTATAAATAAAAACAGTATGATTGATCACTTATTAGAGCTAAGAATATATGAGAATTGGTTCCTGTTTGCAGGACTTAAAAATGTGGTTACCTTTTGATACTTCTCAGAAATGCCTTTACTCCTGAGGTCCACCATTAGTCCTGACAGGCTATTCCTGCTGCTGTCACTCATAATGTAATGCATAATGCATCGCCAGGCAGGCAGTATCAAACTCTGTTACTTCGGTATTCTGTAGAAGTCTCTTTACATTCTGAGGAAAGACAGAACTGTTGTTTATCTCTCCTTCACCTGAGTGATCTGTTGATCTGTTGAACAATGCCTTATATCTAATAATTATTGAATGGTAGTGATACATCTGAGTTCATAACTAAGATCACTATTATGATAATGTATAGGTCATACATTGAACAACCGTCTCAACTACAGAAAATTAAATGCCCTTTGCCAGAGATAATAAATAAATAAATAAATAAGATATTCCCATTGTAATTGCTTTAGGACAAAAGTGAATTTAATAATGGATAGTTCCTATTTTATTTTCTAGCCCAAGTTGTAATTTTCAGAAGAAATATATAGAGTACTATTTCCACCACTTCAATCAGTAAAGCACACAACAGAACTGAGCGGTTGACCTGCAAAATCCTGCTGCCTGCAAAATCATACTGCCTTCTCTTAGTTTTAGTGATCGAACAGTGAAATGGAGACAAGTTAGAATTTTACCTAGGACTGGGCTTAATCTCCAAGAAGCGTCAGAAGTAACAATCAGTCTCAGTATGGTTGACAAGATACGAGCACGTAATGTCTACATTGAGTTCTATGATATTAAGAGGCAGGTACTGATAGGAAGGGGAGTCAGAAGATATCATGTTTAGGTTATGTCAACACTCATATTAAGGGTCTTCCATATAGTTCTGATTTTTATTTATTATGCAGCAGACAAAATTAATGAATTCAAGCCAACAAACACTTTATAAGCCCCCATAAGGCACTATATGCCAGGCACTTCTGGGGTCACACTGATGAATTAGAGACAATTCCTGTCCTCAGTGAGTTCACAGACAATGGAGCGAAGGATGATGAAAGTAATGTAAACGATTCTGCTATAAAGCATGTTTCTTTAATGTACTTTTGCTCTGTGAGAATGATAAATATGGAAATGGTGTCAGCTTAACACGTATCAGTTCCTTTGTAATCTTTCCAGCATGGGCAGACTTTCTCATGATTAAAGAGGAAGACTTATATATTAAAATAAATAAATAAAATCCTACAGAAGTGTTTTCCAAAAGTATCTGGTTTTGTAGCTTCAAGAACTGTTGTACTTCCACTATGTTAAGCTAGCTGGGGAAAGGGTAAGTACAAATAAAAAGGATGCAAATGTATTGCACTGTGTTAAAAAACAAAACAAAGCCAAATAACAGCCAAACACTAATTAATGGAGAAGGCTATCTCCATATGGTATTTTTAATTTTGATGAAATAGTCTCAATGAGAAGCACATATTTTCAAAATCTTCTTTTTCTTTTCTTTTTTTGAGTCGAGGTCTCACTCTCGAGCCAGGCTGGAGTGTAGTGGCATTATCACTGCTCACTGCAGCCTAGACCTCCTGGGGTCAGGTGATCCTTCCACCTCAGCCTCCCAAGTAGCTGAGAATATAGGCATGTGCCACCATGGCTGGCTAACTTTTTTGAATTTTTTGTAGAGACCAGGTCTCATTATGTTGCTCAGTCTGTTCTCGAATTCCTGGACTCAAGCAATCCTCCCACTCTGCTTCCCAAAGTACTGGGATTACCAGTGTGAGCCACAGTGCCTGGCCAAGATTTTATAATTTGAAGAAGAAAACGCGAGTCCCAGGAAGAAGGCTGCAGAGGACTAACCCTATTTCTAGGTGCAAATGCCAGTGGAAATTTAACTGTGCTAGTATTTTTTTTTTAGTAGGTTTTTTTTTTGTTTTTTTGTTTTATTAGGGCCCTTATTTTTATCAGGGCTCCAATTTAAAAGTTATATAATTTTTTTTAGTTATACAGATTTTAAGTGGTCTGCTTATAACCTTTTTTTCCTTATAGCCCTTGTTTATTTGTAGTGCATGCTTTTATAGAACATGAGCTTTTTCGGGAATAAATATGTGGTATTACAACAGAAATATATGTATGCAAAAAACAAAACAAGGCTGAAAATCAGTGCAATTGGGGAAGAGGAGACAAAAGGAAGAGAAAGTGTACCAGGTTGTTGAGAAATCAGGAAAGACTTCATAAAGGAGGTGACACTTGCAAAAGGCGCTGAAGAATCAATAAAAGTTGGAATTAGTATGAGAGACTGAAAACAGTGACACTATTAACAGGAATATGGAAAGTACAGAAAGAAATGGCTTGATTTGAAAGGCTGGCAAGAGACTTGGAGGGCTCAACACACCTATAGTACAAGATTCTTTCACATACATTATCTTTTGGAGGGCTCTAACACATCTATAGTACAAGATTCTTTCACATACATTATCTTTTTCGTAGCTTACACAACCATATACAATGTTTAAGAACTCTTTTGTTCACACTGAATAGGGACAATGAAAATATGGGAAACTTCCCAGGTAGCTCTCAAGTAGAGAATTCTCTGAGAGGGATTCCTATTATTGTTCCTCTGGGCTAATATTTCACTACCATTATCCTTAAGGGACCAAAAAGGGAGAAACTTTTCTTCTAGGACTCAGACCCCCAATTCATAAGATTTTCCTTACTTTTTTTTTCCTTTTGTGGTACTTTCCCACAGAACAGCCATGGAATACAGCCTATTTAGAATATCTATTCAAATGTTCCACTATTTTCTACTATAATATGAAATTTCAGGGTGCAATTTTTTTTTTTTTTTTTGAGTCGGAGTCTCACTGTCGCCCAGGCTGGAGTGTAGTGGCACACTCACAGCCACTGCAGTCTCAACCTGCTGGACTCAGGTGATCCTTCTGTCTCAGCCTTCCAAGTAGCTGTAATTACAGGCATGCACCACCATGTCCAGCTAATTTTTAAAAATTTATTAAAATTTATTTATTAATTTATTGTAAAGACAAGGTTCTCACCAAGTTGCCCAGGCTGGTCTCAAACCCCTGGGCTCAAGCAATCCTCTCACCTCTGCCTCCACAGTGTTAGGATTACAGCCGTGAGCCACTGCACCCTGCTAGGGTACAAAGTTCTTAGCAAGTACATACCACACAATTTCATATGTATCTCAACTAACCTGGCATAAGCTTAAAACATTAAGAAATCCCATCTAAGATCTCTGTTGTCCCTTCTCTTATAGGGAAAATGTTTCATTTCCTCCCCTTGTGGTCATTCTTTTATCACCTTAAATCTACTCAATTTCCAGAAGATTTGTCTCTGTATTTTTAAGCAAGTAACCATAAGTCATAAACCCAAGATACCTAAATAACCATAAGCCCACAAAACTGGTGTGAAGACGGTCAAAAATTACTTGCCATAATCAGTCTGTGCCCTTCCTAATTGCTTCCTTTCTAGTTACCTTCACTTGGATCTTGACTCTTGGCAGTTTCCCATTAAAGATAACAAGTGTTGGTGATGATGTGGAGAAACAGGAACCCTTACATGCTGCTGGTGGGAATGTAGATTAGTACAGCCATTATGGAAAACAGTATGAAATTTCCCTCAAAAATTAAAAATAGAACTACCATATGATGCAGCAATCCCACTACTAAGTATATATCCATAGGAAATGAAATCAGTAAAAGATATCTGCACTCCTATATTAACACATTCACAATCGGCAAATTTTTCACCTTCCTAATACTGAGAGTGGGTGAAAATAAGAAAAATCTGAAGCTGGTTGACAAAAACTTCTGTTGTTAAGCACAAGTGGAATGGTATTTTCTAAATTGTCACCTTTCTTTCACAGTACAGCTGAAAGTTGCAGACATACCCAGTATTTGCCTTAGTTAGCACTCTAACTAGCATTCTGTACTTTGTATTTCTATTAGGATTATAAACCAAATATATATATATTTCTTCATTTACATTGCATCATTACATCACTATCTGACTCACTCACTAATAAGTTCACTTACAACCTCGGAAATCTCATCAACATATATTTCTTCATTTTTCTATAATGATGGTAATTTTTTTTTTTTTTTGAGTCGGTGTCTCACTCTGTCACCCATGCTAGAGTGCAGTGGCATGCTCACCCACCGCAGCCTCAACCTGCTGGGCTCAGGTGATCCTTCCACCTCTGCCTTCCAAGTAGCTGGGACTACAGGCATGAACCATCATGACCGGCTAATTTCTTTATTTATTGTAGAGATGAGGTCTTGCCATGTTGCTCAGGCTAATCTCAAACCCCTGAGCTCCAACAATCCTCTCGCCTCCACCTCCCAAAGTGCTGGAATTACATATGTGAGCCACCGCACCCAGCTAATTATGGTCAATTATTTTTAACCTTTAAGTATCAAAGTCCTGAAATATCAAAATACAAGTATTCAACACTAATTGCAACAAAATAAATGACCAACTTGCAATTTTTACCAACTACGTAAATCAATAACAACAATGTGCAGTCGATTTCAGATAACTGTCCAATTAACTTTCTCTCTCCTTACCTCACTATTCATTTTCAAGCAAAATATAATAACACATACATATGACAAATTGCAGCATTCAGAAACAAAATTTGCAAAGACATAAATTCACATCAGCGGCAACCAGGAACAGAATTTGGAATGATGTAAATTCATGTCCATAATCATGAATGAGTTAACTGCAGTATTATTCACAATAGACAAGATATGAAATCAACCTAAATGTCCATCAACAGATGAGTGGATAAGGAAAATGAGGTATATATACACAATAAAATATTTACTATCCATCCATTAAAAAAAGAGCAAAATCCTGTCATTTGGATGAAGTTGGAGGATAGTAAGTGAAATAAGCCAGACACAGAAAGACAAATACTGCATGATCTCACTCATATACGGAATGTAAAGAGTTGTTCTTACAGAAGTAGAGAGAAGTAGAAAGTGGTTACCAGAAGACGGGGAGTAATTAACAGAAGATAGGGATTCGGGGTGGTGAGAGATTGGTCAATGAGTACAAGCTATAATTAGATAGGAGGAATATGTTCTGGTGTTCTATTACACAATAGGATGACTAGAGTTAACAATAATGTATTCTGTTTCCAAATAGCTAGAAAAGAGGTTTTTGAATGTTCTCATCACAAATAAATGATAAATGTTTATAGTTATAGATACGTT